TCTCATATGCAGTGTCTATCCAATATCTGGCTATCAACATTTTGGAGGACCAGTATCCAAAACAAGGGCCGTATTCAACCAGGGATAAGCCCCTGATCTCACCTTGAGGTCGCTTGTCGTTGCTCCGGCGATGACAAGGCCCCGTCCATCCTCCAGCACCACCGCCTGTCCCACTCTTTTTCTTTGTATGTGTCTCTGATGGATTACTTACGCCTACCTACAACGTACCTTCAAAGAAAATACAAGAAAAAATAAACAGGAATAAACATACATTTTTTGTAGTATAAATTAGACAAGTCTTGTTATGGTCCATGAAATACTAGCATCACGGTCGGAAAACGAGTGTTACTGTTACCAACCCTGTCACTTTGTGGCGCCGTGAAAAGCCATTCCTGTTGTTGACATGACAGCAGGGCATTCCGTTTCTGTCGACAGCAAATCATATCTCATATCTGGTGAGAGCAAACAAAGCGCCAGCAGACGGACCCTTGATGTGGAGAGGTCTCCCGTGCTACAAGCCTCCCTTTGCCTTTTGCCCCCACCACACTCGTTTCTTTCATGACTCACCACCATACACTACACGGTAGTTATTATCCATGCATATTGTCACTTACTACAGCTTACAGATCTGTCGTTTTCAATGTCATTTTATGCAGAGTGTCATCACATGCATGCGTGATCTAAACATGCATGAGTGTCAACTTAAGCGGTGTGGCCTTATCCTCACGTGTGTACTTAGAGACAAGAAGTTTACGATGGAGACAAGAGGTGATATGTAGCTAATATGGACCACACTCTAAAAGTTTACGACGGAAACAAGAGGTTTTCTCACTGCTGCGGCTTACCAAAAAGTGGGAGTATATATGCTGTTGTTGGTGTAACCAGCAAGCAGGAGTGCTTTGCTGTCTGTGTCCCTGTCATTTGCCCGGCTACTCCAAGATCTATATAACACATGCCTTGGATTCTTGGCCCTGTTTATTTTCTGGTGTACACTTCTCATCCTTAACTTTCAATATTGTGTGAGGTTCATTCTTGAAAGTAGTCAACCATGGTCAAAACCGAATCTGTGCCAGGTGGATTTTTTTTTACTTTGGTCCCATAATTAAGCCAAGGTACCACACATGCAGTTCTTCATGAAATCCAAATAATCTAGTGCTAGACCCAACGTTTCATATATATATATATATATATATATATATATATATATATATATATATATATATATATATATAGAGAGAGAGAGAGAGAGAGAGAGAGAGAGAGAGAGTGCGGGAGGGGCCACGGTGGTGACATCGTGGACCTCACGAGTGTGGCCGCCTTGTTTCTTGTGGCTGTGAAAGTTTTGGAGGATCTGCATCCAAAATAAGGGCCATGTTTAGGCAGGCATGAGCTCCTGGTTGATCTCACCATGTGGTCACAGTAGATGACAAGGCCCCATCCGTCCTCTGGCACCGCTCATTGGTTTTTTGTCCGTGCCTCTGATAGTCAGATGGATCATTCACGCTTTTTGGCAACATGCTGGATGAAGAAAAATAAAACAAGAAAAAGGAAACATGGCTGTCAATTATACTAGCATCACCGTCAGAAAGTGAGTGTTACTGTTATCCACACTGTCACTTGGTTGTCCTGTGCATGGCGACTCTCTCACCTGAACTGTCACATGACGTAAACAGGTGGACGTGAATCTATTTTGAGCTAGAGTAAGTCTTATCATTCTTACACACACCACATGGGCAACACATAAAACCATCATCCCGTTTGTTTGCCTCAGCCGCATGCAAAAAACTCTGCATGCCATTAATGAACTGGGGAGAGTGTCGGAAGGAGGCAGCGGCGGCGCAGGTGCAGCGGCGGCGCAGGCAGAAGCGTTAGGAAAGATACACGGTATCTGATACCATGTAGATTATCGATATGTGCATTGATCGTATGTCGTAGCATATATAGAGTACAAGGGCAAGAATATCTCAACCGTATCCGATATACATGGAAAGTATCGGGAGATATTCATAGACTAGGAAACAATAATAGAAGATCCTAGCTGCCTAATGTACATGCGATCATGAGTATCTCAACATCAGCATCATGGGAAAAACAGATCCCAAATTAAATTCATGTCTCGTCTCCTTCTCCCTGAGAATAAATCAAAAAAATCTGTTCTTCTTAGCGGCAACTCTAAGGACAGAACTCCTGGCAAGCCAGTTATCCTTTTGAATATTAACATTACCATCATAGACCCCCCAGATAACTCCACATTTGAACAACTCAAGACTATGCATGATACCTTGCCAAGATGCAGAGACGAACTTCGGGAAAGCAGTATCAAGAAGGTGACCCTGAGGATAGTACTTTGCTTCAATAATCTGGCCCATAAGGACTAAGGAATTTCCAATAAACGCCAAGCTTGTTTGCCTTGGGAAATCATACCATTTCTGTTGAGAGCAAGGCGCTAGTTAATTTGGGAAGGCCCCCCATGCTAGAGGATAGTACTTTGTCTTTTGCTCCCACCACACCCATCTCTCCCTGTCACACAAACACACACATTGAGGGAGAGGGAGAGGCAGGGACCAAGCCAGCGATGCCGTGCTCGCATAGTCAAGAGACAAAGTAATATACATTTTTGTGAAAATCTAGAGATGGTACTCAGTGCCTGTCAAATATTTAGCCACGTTGCTTCCTATGGCTGTCAAAGTTTTGAGGGATCAGTATCTAGAACAAGGGCCTGATCTCAGCATGCGGTCACAAGTCGATGCGGCGGCGGCCGCCACTTGCTTCTTTGGCGATGATAAGGCCCGTCTGCCCTCCAGCTCCTGTGCATGGTGATTCTCACCTGGTGGCGTCGTAAAAAGCCATTCATGTTGTTGACAGCAAGGCATTCCCTTTCTGTCGAGAGCAAATCAAACCATTTCGGGTGAGAGCAAAGGCGCTAGCTGACGGCCGTGACGCGGAGAGGTCCCTGATTCTAGAAGGCTCCCTTTGTCTTTTACTCCCACCACCCACTCATTTCTATGACTCACCATACCAGCATTTATCATCGATGCAAATGTGTTGCTGATACCGACAAATCTGTAGTTTTCATCTTTGATTTCCGTTGTTAGCTTCTACGGCCTCCCAATTTGGGCACGTTTGGCTGCTTATGCATGCTCCATGCTGTGCTGAAATCAGTGTACTCCCTCCGTTCCTAAATATTTGTCTTTTAGAGATTTCAAATGGACTACCACATACGGATGTATATAGACATACTTTAGAGTGTAGATTCATTCATTTTGCTTCGTGTGTAGTCATTTATTGAAATCTCTAAAAAGATAAATATTTAGGAACGGAGGGAGTATAATCTAACAATCACATGCATGATCGAAGACTTTTGCAGTGTGTCTCTGCACACAATCACATGTGTTGCTATATATGCGCTTAGAGACAAAGGTGAAAAGTTTACAATGCAGATAAGAGGTGCCTAAATATGGACCGCCCGTTGTGGCTACGGTTTTCTCACTGCCGCGGCTTACTAAAAATGGTGTTTTTGTGTTTTTGATAAAATGCCTTAAATGGAGAGTATGTTGCTAGATGTTGGTGTAACCAGGAGGGCTCTGCTGTCCGTGTCTCTGTCATTGCCCCGCTGCTCCGACTTCCGAGATTCTATATAGCTTGCCTAGGATTCTTGGCCTGCTTTCGTACATAGCAGATCCATATCTTCCTCGCTAACAGGAGCAGAAACGTGCGGCTGCTAGCTCTTCTGTTGGTCTGCAGTTTGCACACAGCTCAAGTAAGTAAGGTCTAAGCAGACTTGTTTGCTCGATCATATCTAGCTTCACTTTGTGAGTAACTCTGCATGCAATCCGATGCATATGTAGGAAACAGCTAGCTAGTGTGGTAATCAATGGCGCTATCAGCTGCCCCTGGCGTCGAGGCACCGCCGTCCGGGAAGCAGCTCAGCTACCAGCTCGCCGCTGCTGTGAGGAGCATCAACTGGACTTACGCCATTTTCTGGTCCTTGTCCACCGGCCTGCGCCCACCTGGGTAATTAACCAATCATACATCCGTACGGAGTACATTCATGTATATATAGCTGGTGACAAGTTGGTACTTTCTTAAAGCAAATTCGTAAAGTTTGTACATTTCATATCCAGAACCTATCGGTTTGATTTTGTAGAGTTCTGACGTGGAAGGGCGGCTTCTACAACGGCGAGGTAAAGACGAGGAAGATCATAAGCTCGACTACCACGGAGGTTACCGCAAACGACCTCATCCTGCAGAGGAGTGAGCAGCTAAGGGAGCTCTACGAGTCTCTCCTGTCCGGCAAGGCGGACCACCGGGCGAGGCGTCCTGCCGCCTCGCTGTCCCCGGAGGATCTCGGGGAAGCAGAGTGGTACTACACGCTGAGCATGACTTACTCATTCCGGCCTAGTCAAGGGTACGTATGCAACTACTATACGCATTCACACACAATGAACCGTAAAATCAGAAAAGATAGCAAACAGAATCTAAACCTTTTGAAATTTTGTGGCTTCAATTATGACCAAAATTTTTAGGTGCTTGCAAAATTTGGTAGCCAAATAAAATCAAATGAGCTTGTGGCAAACAAAACGAAAATTCCGCTCAAACAGTGCACACAAGTTTGAGCACAAATTTATTTAGTTATTGAAAGGAGCTCCTCGGATGTCATTTGGCCACCAAATTTTACAAGGAACCTAAAACATTTTATCATAATCAAGGCCACGAAGTTTCAGACTTTTTAGATTTTGTTTGCTATTTGGTTTTTATTTTACTGTTCATCATGCGTGCGATGCACCCGAGTGTAGAAAAACCTACGCCCAAGCTAGTTTAACTCTAAGTTCCGATAAAGGGTGATATACATAGCTAGCGTATATGGTTTGATGTATAGGAGATTCCTGCATTCATTTTTAAAGATATATAGTGAAACACTACGGTACACTCTTCAGTCTAAAAGAGAAACATGACAAAACGACATGAAAACACGGTGATAGGATTCTTATTCTTACACCGCGTAAAACTTCGACGCACCTAAAGCAAGAAGAAAAACCGGCAAAACATTACGTAATACAGTAAAACAAGTCAAGCTAGTCTGTTGTACTTACTTTGACTGTAGAGTCAAAGCGTTGTTACTGAAGTGTTTGTTCTTGAAGTGTAAGTTAATATGGTGCCACATTTTATTAGTTGCCTTTTATTTTGGAATAAAGTTTACGTGCTTGTTCAATCGGGAAGCAGCTGGTTAAATCATGGAATTATGATCCAAACAAATTAGTATCGTAAGAGTTTTTGTAGGAACTTTGTGTAGGAATAGGATTTCAATTTATTCTGCTTTCAAGTCGGGTTTTGAGCCATTAGTTTGAAATCCAATGACTCTGGTTCAGCTTCCCTCCCCACTCCCAACCCAAACTAGTCGAAGGTCTACCTCTCTTCCGGTGGCGACGCCACTTCTTAGTGCCCGCCTCCAACAAGGTCCTGGCAAGCCCTTGTTGGCGACCTCGGGCACCGTCTAATGAATAGCACCTGTGAATTAATATACTCCTACTTACCTAGTTACTTTCAGGTTGCCAGGCAAGAGCTTTGCGAGCAATGAACATGTTTGGTTGTACAATGCTCAATACGCAGACACCAAAACTTTCCAGCGCGCTCTCTTAGCAAAGGTATCTTATACATATTTATCTCAAACTGTATACATCTTTCGGTCGTTAACTAACACCATGATGCTTGCCCACGCTACCGGACGGTTAAATCAGACTGCGCCTATTCAGGTCAGCACATTACTTGTTTAATACTTCATGCATGCTTCGAGATCTCCTTATATGCGTCTATCACATGTTTACCCTCTAGATCTCTGATCTCAAGCTGGATCACATTTTTCAGACAGTCGTTTGCATTCCCTTCATGGGTGGTGTGCTGGAGCTTGGAACGTCGGATTTGGTGAGGGCATATGATTTTCGCTATAACTTTTATGTGCGAAGGATTTTCACTTTAATTTTTGAGTATCTCTCAATATATTATTTCCTTTTGTTTTGTACTTCTGTTTACGGGTGCACGCAAACTTTGAAATTGTGACGGCTTCAATTACCGGTACTCCCTCCGTCACAAATTATCGTGTATACAACTTTTTTAGAAGCATATTTTTATGGTTTAATCAAGTTTATAGAGAAAAACATTAACATTAGTAATATCAAATAATATTATATAAAAATATGTTTTACAATATTATATATAATGGCATAATCTAAGCATGGATGATTCCATCAATGGGGGTGGCGGTGTGAGACTAGAATATGACGGCACGCTAGGCAACAACGGAGGGTTATGCTTACCTTTATAGGAGCGATAGGGTCATCACAGGTGGGTGAATCGGTTCACCTGTCAACGATGATACATCAAGAGGATGATGTCTGAAAGCCCGTATGCAGTACATCTTACTTCCATAGACTATAATTGCTTGGTTAATGGCAACATTGATACTAGGCATGATATTAATTAGTGGAGGGCGCTAAACATGTTTAGCGCTGAACAACAGAGCGGTGTAGACCGTTGGATAAACGCGGTTGAACGGATGAAATGTGTTGGATCTCCACAACTCGCTATTTTTATATTGGTACTCGTTGGATAAATGCATACATGTTTTCCCCACCCATATGAGATACATGTCATTCTGACATATCACAGACTTTTCAGCAATGATCCTGCAGTGATACTTTACTTTTAAACTATTATTAATAAGTTCATTCTTTTGCGGTATGACTGGTGTAGAAAATATTTATATGTTCTATGCACAAGGTTAAGACAACCTACCACGTCAATTGTAGGACACGTTCCCCCCCCCCCCTTAATAAGTCCACATTAATGAAGTGCTACTAACAAAGATCTATCAATGGATTTGCTAGGTGTTGGAGGATCCAGACATGGTGAACGGGATCGGCACATCTTTCTGGGAGCTACCCTTCCAGGCATGCTTGGAGTCAGAGGCGCCAAGCTCCAGTCCATCAACAAACGAAACTAGGAACAGGGATGTAGAAATCATCGTGTTCGAAGACCTTGATGACAATATCGCCAAGGGGTTCATCTCTGAGCTAGGCGAGGTCGAGAGCATGTCCGACGCGAACATCAATTGCGTCACCGAGGAAGTGGATGATTTCTATGGCCTCATTGAGGAGTTGGACGTGTGTGCTCTTGAGGACAACTGGGTCATCGAAAGGTCCTTTGAGTTCATGTCTTCCTTGGAAATGGCGCCAAACATGGAAGCACCAAGAATCGATGATAACACCGTAACTTTAAGTAGCTCTGTTAATGGCTCTCGTCCATCCTGCTTTACCGTATGGAAGAGGTCATCAGACTGGGAAGACATGGATGTGCGGGATCCCGGGGAGTCACAAAAGTTGTTGAAGAAAGTTGTGGCTGGCGGTGACTGGACAATGAGAGCTCAAGAAAGTAACATCAAGACACATGTCTTGTCGGAAAGAAGACGCCGGGAGAAGCTCAACGAGATGTTCCTAGTTCTCAAGTCATTGGTCCCGTCCATTAACAAGGTAGTATTATTTAGCATCCATTGCTTCTTAGCAAATTGCAGAAAATGTTTTCCATAGCTTTTTTCCTGGGTTGCAGATGGACAAAGCATCCATCCTCGCAGAGACGATAACATATCTCAAAGAGCTAGAGCAAAGGGTAGAAGAGCTAGAATCTAGCAGGACACCATCATGGCACCCAAAAGAAGGAACGGGACGGGGACTCCATGATGTTGCCGGAAGGAAGAAGATCAAACTATCAACTGGATGCAAGAGGAAGGCGTCGGAGTCAGAGAGGGAGGATGGCGATGGCCCAAGCAATGTTGTCAATGTGATCATGATGGACAAGGAGGTGATCTTGGAGGTGCAATGCCGATGGAAGAAGCTGTTGATGACACGAGTGTTCGACGCCATCAAGAACCTCCGTTTGGACATCGTCTCCGTGCACACATCCACACCGGGTGGCCTTCTTGAACTCAAGATACGAGCCACTCACCAGGTCTCAATCTCACCACCTTCTAATGGCGATCTGACAATATAGAATATATAACGTTTATTAAGGCTTCACATTATAGTCTCATTTACCAACATTGTTGGAATGTTGCAGGTTGCGGCTGGTTTTGCTACCGTGGCACCTGGGATGATCACTGAAGCGCTTCAGAAAGCTATAGGCAACCGCTGGCAAAATTAATATCAAAAGCATGACCAGACACCAGTAGAGCATGGTATAGTGCTCAGACACTGATGGTTATGTTCTTCAGATAGGACAATTGCATCAGATATGACCATATCAACATCAGACGTGAATGCACTTCATTTGTACACGATGACAAAGTGCATAGCAACGGTACATCCACCAGTGAGCAATATTGCGTGTAGAGTCAACTGATACTTTCCCACAATTGGCAGAGTATTGGCTTCCCTCACAACCATTTAGGTGACATGTGCCGGCTTCTCTCTGGTTAAAAATAATTAGGACGGACGCAAAAAAACTTGGAAAAAAGGTAGATCTCTTTGGCAATTGTGATAAATTGTGATTCTGTTATTCTAGTTTTGGAAAATTGAGGAGTTCGGGACCTTGTTTTTTGAGGGGAACTAGACCCTTCTGCATCTTGCAAAAATCTCCTTCACCAACATAATTCTATCAGAGCCAACTACTGGCAGCAAACACATTTTGATAAGGAGACAATTCGTTGCAACACGGTAATTAGGGACTACATACCAGTTCGTTTGGCCGTTTCTCCCAGAATCTTGAGAATCAGACCTCCCTCCGATTCTCCCAGAATTTGAACCCATATTTTCTTATAATCCTAACTGGATTGTCCCTAATGTTAGGTTTGTGAGAAAATTATGGGTTAAGATTGCCCGTAAATAGGTGGTGCCATTGAATAGATCTCTCTCTCTCT